CACCCCCATTGAGATCCTGACCATCATTCCTGAGGACAGGCAGGCCTCCCCTGACTCACTGCACCTTGAGTCTTCATCCATCATTTTGGAAGGGAGTCTTGTCATGAATGACCTTGGAAATCTTCCACATGCCATGTGCTTGCTCTTTGGACTTATTTATGCTCTGAATTTGGAGTACCCTCAACAACTGAAGTACACCTTTGACTTCATCCAAAGGGTGCTTCTCTCACTTGGACATAAATCCCTAAAATCAAAAATACAATCACTCAAAAATCTTCTGATGCAATGAGTGAATGTGATGTGACATTATGGATCAACGTTGATACCTTTACCCTTATTGGAAAAGTGATTTTTATTTCTTGTTTGATTCTTTTTGAATTGTTTTGAAGACTGAGGGCCATTTGAAGGATTCAATATGAGATTGAAGGCTGCCCTAGAAAAAAAGTTTATGGGAAACTTTGTTTCCAGGTTAGTGTGTCTGTAACCACACTTGAGAACCCTGTATTTAAGGTAAACTTGTTTAATTATTAAACATTTTTTTCCATTGTTGTCTGTTGGCTCTTTGTTTCAATAACTTAACACTTTTGGTTCTTCTTACTTGAACATATCAAGGCAATCGGTTTCCTGATATTTTGCAAGTAATGTGAACGCTTTAACGTGTAAGCATAACTTATTTTTATGAGTAGTGCTTAACTGACATAACTTTAATCTTTATTAAGGACAGTGCACATTAATGAACAATCAACACTACTGTATAGACTGTAATTGAGCCAGATTATAGCATAATTGCTCATTTCCATCTGTAGTCCTAGACAAGGAGACCCAAACGACAAAAAGACATAAACATACAATCAAGAATTGACAAACATTCACAAAAAACAGTAAAAAGTTAGTTAAAATGATGACACGTCTGGGAAGTTTTAATAAACAGTTTCAGGTGTTTTTTAAAAACGCTATAGGTGGAACACTCTCTGATCCTAGCCGGCACACTGTTCCAGAAGTGACTCCCTCTGACTGATAGAACCATTTGCCCAAATGTTGTTTTTCTGTAAGGGATCTCCAAGTCTCCTCTGGAAGATGCCCTGGTGCCAAGACCTCGCTCGGCTCTTTGCTTAAAATATATACCAAGCGGAGGTAGAGTGAGTCCATGAAGAACTTTGTAAATAAGGCAAATGTTTTTAACATTAATAAAGTTTTCAAAGTTAAGCATATTATATTTTTCCAAAATATGACACTGATGATAAGACAGAGGCTTTTGATCAAGAATTTTTATAAATTTTTAAAATAACATTTCTATAGGTTTTAATGATGTCTCCAGTGAGTGACCAAGTTGTGATGCAGTAATCTATGTGTGAAAATACTATTGAGTGCAGGAACATTTTTGCGGAGTTAATTGTCATTGATGGTCTGATTTGTTTAAGTTATTCAGATTAAATTTGATTTTATTTGCTGTGAGTTTAATGTGTTTTTTAAAGGACAGTGTTGTGACAATGTGACCCCGAGGTACTTGAACTCCTGCACAAGGTCAAGCTCTGTTCCCCACAGGAAGACATTGGACCGTTCCAGTTTTATGGGGTTTTTTGTCAACATCATTGAAACAGTTTTCTTTTTGTTCAATAATAAAGACGACTGTAAAAGCCAATGCTGTATATTCTCCAAAGCTGATGTCAAAGTTGATGAAGCTTCCTGGGTGCTTTTAGCAGATGTGAAGATAACTGCATCATCAGCATATATTTGGAAAAGGACATGTGAACACACTGTGATGTCATAACTATGAGACAACAACACATTTGGCATGTCATTTATATACATGGAAAACAATATTGGTCCTAAAATAGAGCCCTGGGGGACCCCTGCTGGACATTGAAGATATGATGAGATTGTGCCCCCTACACTCACAGATTGTCTCCTGTTAGACAAATAAGACTGAAACCAGACTAGTGCATCTTCTGCAAAATTAAAGTAAATTAATTTTGATCAATTTATGCATAAGTATAATGCCGATAAGGATTATATCGGCATTTGCCGATATTGATATGCCAGCATATCGATATGCCGATATGCTAATATCGGCATAAATGATTCATTAGTTAACTCGCACATTGAAGTAGTCATAATTGACATTTTACAGTCAACATGATTTTGAGTTGATGGCACTCAGGTTTACTGTCATTATCTGAGTGGTCTAAACATAGTTATTTATAGCTATAACACCTTAAAATAAATTAGCTACTTTACTTGGAGATTTTGAGGCAATCGGTTTCCTAACTTTTTTTAAGTAAAGTGAACTTATTACATTTTACAGTGCACCTCACCAGGGAGGCATCCAGGTCCATCCTGACCAGATGTCTGAGCCACCTCAATTGACTCCTCTCGATGTAGAGGAACAGCTTTTCTACTCTGAATCCCTCCAGGAAGACTCATCTTCTCACCCTGACTCTAAGGCAGAGCCCAGACATCCTACGGAGAAAACCCATTTTGGCTACTTGTATCTGTGATCTCGTTCTTTCAGTCAGGAACCACGACGGACTGGTACAGTCATGGCAGATGTTCCGCCAATCCGCCTGTCAATCTCCCACTCCTTTCTTCCCTCATTTGTGAACAAGATCTTGAGATACTTAAACTCCTCCACTTGGACACTCTTATGCCTGAACATGGTGTTCGATATGGACAATCTGTGACAAGCAAAGAAGTCCAACAACAGAACACCACTCGAGTTCAGATTGGGCAGGCCGTTCCTGCCAACCACGCCCCTCCAGGTCTCACTGTCATCGCCCACATGAGCGTTGAAATCCCCCAGCAGAAAAAGGGAGTCCACAGGAGGGGCACTCTCTAGTACCCCCTTCAAGGACTCCAAGGACCCTCTCATTCACCAGGGTAAACACAAACGTATAGGCGCCGGAGATGGGGAGCAACAAGTATGCCCACTCTTGCCTGACGCCTCACAATATTGAAGGGTGGGTAATCAACTGTCACTCAGCCATAAGCACAAACAACAGTCAGGACACATCCTCCCACCCATAGGTGGAGGGAGGCTACACTCTCATTCACCAGAGTAAACCCCGTCAGTGGCGGAGCTAGACTTTTTTTCAAGGGGTGGCCAAAGGGTGAGCAAGGCTTTATCAGAGGGGTCCACATACAAATGGACCGTTCCATGGAACAAAATTTGTTTGTTTCCTTTCGTTCAAAATTAATTAATATAACTAGTTAGGTTATAATTCAAAGCTTTCATATGACATAGCCTACTTACATTTCAGTCATTATAAAACTTAATGGTTTTTCACATATTCTTACCACACACATTTCAAGCAAGAGCTGGGAGATATAAAACATTACAGGGCAGCATGTGCACTAAAACATGTTAAAAGAATCTGTCTAAAACATGATCTATCAGCACTAGCATGGCTAATATAATAAACGAGGCACTACGCAGCGGTGCACAACCATGTTTTTTTTCTTTTTAGAAATGTATGACAAGTGCCGCCTCTCATTAAGAAGGTAACAGCGGTTACTGCTGAGCGGTAAAATGTTGTAAATACCTGCAAAACTCCTCGATGGTGTAACTCTAAAGCCACGGGTGTGTTTTGGATCAAGCAGGACCCACATGTCAGTTTAACCAATGAACAGCGTCGGGCATCTGGCTGCCTTCAGGGACAGTCGGAAATTACAGTTTTCCTGGCAAATTTTTGTCGATCTCATAAGTATTATATTTTAAAATGACCATTTCCAGTGGGGTGGCACTAAGGGTGGCCAGGGCTCTGTTGGGGGTGGCAAGTGCCACCCCGGCCACCCGTCTGGCTCCGCCACTGCTCAACGTATAGGCGCTGGAGATGGGGAGCAACAAGTATGCCCACTCCTGCCTGACACCTCTTGCCAAGGGCAACTCCAGAGTGGAAGTATGTCCAGCCCCTCTCAAGGAGACTGGTTCCAGAACCAGAGCCATATGTGAGGTGAGACCGAGTAATTCCGAGTAATTCTAGCCAGAACCTCTCAACCTCACACACCAGCTCCTGCTCTTTCCTCACCAGAGAGGTGACATTCCACATCCCAAGAGCCAGCTTCTGCAACCGAGGATCAGACCGCCAGGGCCCCCTCCCTCGGCCACCACCCATCACACACTGCACCCGACCCCTTTGGGCCCTCTCATTGGTGGTGGGCCCATGTCTCCTCTTTGGGCTGAGCCCGGCCGGGCTCCATAGGCATAAAGCCCCAGACAGCATAGCTCCTGGGATCATTGGGACATTCAAACCCCTCCACCACGATAAGGTGGCAGCCCAACGAGAGGAACATTTTCCCCTAATAAATTTAAAATGTATATGAAAACGCATATTAAACTTACTCAAGTTTTTATATTAGCATCTGTTTAATTATCTGAGACATTTAAATGTGACAAAAAATATTGATGAAATCTGTAACGTGCAGCAGGAAATCTGTAACCTTTCCTAAGAAAATAATTTTTCTAAGAAAATTATGCTGCAGGATCTACACTAGTACTCAGAGGAGAGAAACATGCAGAGAGCTGAAAGTCATTATCTGTGGAGCTTAATAGAAGGACTGGCAGACAGAATTTTGAAAGAGATGATCAGAAGTGAGAAAAAGATTACCAAGTTGCAGTTGGAGAGGCAGAGTGAGAAAGAAGAATGGAACAAGAAGCTGATGTTGGAGTGTATGGGAGCTAGTGATAATACTGGCAAACGAAAACACTGTCTGTGAAAAATTCACTTGCTCTCCCTCAGGATTACCAATGTAATTATTTGAACAAGGATTCTCATCAGAATGTCTAAAGGGGTGGAGGACTTATGGAACAAATGTGAGCCAGACAAAGAGAAGAGAAGGTTTGGCTACTTGAAATTAACTTCCTGCTCTAACCTCTGCAACTGATAGTCGACACAAATACCCCTGACTTAAAAATGGGAAAAATCTGGTAAAAACTTACCTCAATACCTCTCAGTTTATTTTTCTGCAAATCTGATAGAACAAAAGGGTCAGAAGATGAGATCTGCTGATCACAGATAAGGTTTTTATTTGATTGTTGAATAGTGTCTGAAAACCAACAGAGTCTCATTTGTTGTTTTAAGAAACACAGGGTACTTCACATTATAGACGTCTCCAAATGCTGATGAATCAGAATTTATCCAAGTACACAAAATATTACAACAATGATGGAAAAAGCAAAAAAAATTAAAAAATAAATAAATAAATAAAAACCTCCTTGTCATCTTTAAAATGCTATAAATTCATTCATTAAAAATGGGCATAAGTATCCAGTGATGTCCAAATATAAAAGGTCCAAGAAGTAAAACTGTCACAGGACAAAAATGACTCCCTTTTAAATCACACCACTGCTGCAGTACTTCAGTCTGCCTGTGGAGGCTCTCCTTTACTTCACTTGGAAAAATATCCCTTTTTTTAAATAAAAAAACATTGACACAAAGATTGTCTGAAGAGCAGAAGTTATTTTTCTCCTGAATGGAAAATGTCTAAAGAAACCAATAACCAGTCTGTCTCTTTGTGGATAGATCAGGAAGCACATTAATACAGCTACTGAAGCAGAACAGATTCAGGAGGAGACAGATGGTAAATATGCACAGGAACCTGCAGGTGAACCAGAGAAACAGCCTTGCATGATAACATCATTCCATGTCTTGGTTTTCCTTACATTCACATTAATAGTTTCCAAATACAAACCAAGAAAACTTTCATGAAGAGATTTTTCTTAAACTGATTATGAAAGTAATTTGGACATTTTAATTGCCACTATGTTTAATACACTGCCAACCAAGAACCTTTAATATTCTGATGATTGGAACATTTAGAAAGCTGTTGATGCATGATGAGTTTTTTTTGTTTTTCAGCTATTCAGCTAACTGAAATATACAGGCACCTCAACATGGTAACAGTTCTGTTAAATGCTGATCAGTGATGTATTGAATATATTGTAAACAGTCTTGGCCAAAGGGCAGAGGTCAGCATGAGTTTTCTCCCAGTTTGTAGCTGCTGTGGCCTGGAAACAGTTTTTGCTACCCTGGAGATTTATTCTGTTTTCCCTTTATATTTAGTCTCTTTGACATGATTAGCTCTTGGAATCACTGTGGTTGGAGAGACATTTGAAGATCCACTCTTCCATGATTTCTCCATCGGTTTCAAGACATTGACTAGTTTCACAATATTGAATGATTTTTCTGAATATTGTCTTGGCTTTGATCATGAGTACAAAGGATTACAGGTAACAGCAACTTCATTGGTTGCTCGTCAAGTACGAACCATAGAGACCTAGAGAAGTGAATTTTCTGTTCCAGGTCTGTAGAAACCACAGATTATCCTCAGGATTTATTTTCTTTTTGTCTTTACTTTGATGTTCTAAACAAGATGTGGGATTTTCTTGTTTATGAATGCTGTGATAAACCACCGTTGTGAGATGAGACACCACAAAGATTGTGTGCATTTCTATTTTTAAGTCTAATAAGAGATGATCCTATAGAATTGAAAAATAAACTGTAACTGCAACTTTCCATAGATTTTACCTGTAGCAGACAGTGAATTGGATGTTATCTTAGAACCAATCTTAGACTTCTGATTTCTCAAGTTTTAATTCTGATTTAAAGGGCCCTTAAAATTGAAATCACAATGAGACTTTGTCAAAGAACAGTAGAATAAAGCAGTTATATTCTGCTGGTAAGATACTCATTATTCATAACTTCAAAAAACTCAACACATTCTCCACTTTTCCTTAAGATGTCATGTAGTGCAATAGACTTAGACTTAAGAAGAAGCAGCAGAGGATGAAGAGGAATAAACTGAGGAAAGTTCACATGCATCGTTGGAGTGCAGACAGATTGTAGAGTGACCTGGTCTTGTTATGCTCAGCATATTTAGACGACCGAATCTACAAGATAGAACCTTGAAAAAATCCAAACAATTTTACAAATTTTTATCTATTTTTTTGTTTTTAAATACAAAATACATCAATACATACAGCTAAACAAAAAGAATAAATACCACAGCAAGCATTTACATCACTAAGAAATAGACCAAATGAAATGTAACAATCACAATTATTTTTATTTTTTTTCAATGAAAAAGTATAGCATAGCAACAGCATTTAAGAGCTTCAAGCTCTTCTTTATTCTGAGGGAGGAACTCTACAAATATCAATTACAGTGTGTTGTTACGGCTTTCCTGTCCTGACTGAAAGAACCACAAACACAGTAACTGAGGAGTCTGAAACACCAGCTGCTGCTTCTGGTGGTCTAGCGTTGCTCGTTTTGAACGGACAGAAGTGTTCGCGTGTAGCACCTTCAGGTTTAATGGTGGTCCCTTTCAGCTCTCAGACAGAACCAGCTACATTCTGAGCTAGTCACAGCAGGAGTGGTGGAGAGGATGGAGGAGCAGTGGTACAGAAAGGGTGTGGGGGAGATACACCCTGTTTCTGCCTTTCAGCCGGTTAGAGAATCACCTGAGGCTGTAATGAGCCCCAGAGAGTAGTGTTGACACATCTGACACCCCAATATACTGTCAGTCTGTGGCAGAGACCTCTCGCTGCCCTTGTACACTTCCTTTGATGTCTTGCATGTGCAAACATGCCAATGGGAAAAAGAAAAAAAAACACAAAAAACACATTCCAGCATGCTTTGGCCCTAAGGAGACGAAAGGAAGCGGAGGCATAAAAGGGGAGTCGGGACGGTCTGTGTGTGTGCAGGGGACTAGGAAAGACATGGGAAATTAAAGTTGAAAAGTAGGAAGAGTGGTGTGAAATCCTCTTGGCAAATGTTCTGCCGCTGCTCAGCCAAGGCTCTGGTGTACATGAGGAGTTGGACTGTTTCACTGATAATTTTAATGAACTGACAATGAAGTCTCTTTTGTCTCCGACAGCAGCATCAGATTGTCAGTGCAGCAAGGACACAGAAATGTCTGCATATTAATGTTTCTCTCCATGAGTCCATGCATCTGCTTTTCAAGCCCAGTGTTAACATGAAGAAGTAGTTATGGCACATGGAATAATGGTGAAAGCCTGAGGAAGCATCAGTCTGCCACTATGGCACACTGTGAAACACACACCAGGATTATATTTACACACCGCCATCTGTCCAGCCCTTCACACTCAACTTCCTCCTTGGGCTCCTTTCTCTTGGCGGACGTCTGAGGTCTGGGCTTCAGCTGTCTGCAGTCATGTGGTCCTGGGGTTTGGAAGGTCGAAGACAATAGGTGGGTTCATGGGCAGGAAGTTCACCGTGCAAGCTGAGGCGTTGATGAACGTTGTGGTGCCATCTGTCATCATGCCATAACCTGTACAATAAAGCATTAAAAGAACTTTCATTGGCTTTTATGACTCTTAAATGGAGTGGAATAAAATAAAACACATGCATTCATACATTCATTCCACACAGGCTACATATATTTTATTGTAGGTTCTGGTGTCTCTCATGTTCCTCTGGAGAACATTCTTTGAGTCGCTGTACAGTCATGGCCAAAAGTATTGAGAATGACACAAATATTATATTTTCACATGATCTGCTGCCCTCTGGTTTTCATGTGTGTATGTCAGATGTTGTCATCACATACAGAAATACAATTGCAATCATATTATGAGTAACAAAAGCTTTTATTGACAGTTAGAATGAGTTAATGCAGCAAGTCAATATTTGCAGTGTTGACCCCTCTTATTCAGGACCTCTGCAATTCTCCCTGCCATGCTCTCAATCAACTTCTGGACCAAATCCTGACTGATAGCAGTCCATTCTTGCACAATCAATGCTTGCATTTTGTCAGAATTCCTAGGTTTTCGTTTGTCCACCCATCTCTTGATGATTGACCACAAGTTTTCAATGGGATTAAGATCAGGGGACCCAAAATCTCTATGTTTTGTTCCCTGAGCCAGTTAGATATCACCTTTGCTTTATGGCAAGGTGCTCCATCATGCTGGAAAAGGCATTGTTCATCACCAAACTGCTCTTGGACGGTTGGGAGAAGTTGCTCTCGGAGGACATTCTGGTACCATTCTTTATTGGTAGCTGTGTTTTTAGGTAAGACTGTGAGAGAGCCGACTCCCTTGGCTGAGAAGCAACCCCACACACGAATGGTTTCAAGATGCTTTACAGTTGGCATGAGACAAGACTGGTGGTAGCGCTCACCTCGTCTTCTCCAAACAAGCCGTTTTCCAGATGTCCCACACAATCGGAACGGGGATTCATCAGAGAAAATGACTTTACCCCAGTCCTCAGCAGTCCACTCCCTGTACCTTTTGCAGAATATCAGTCTGTCCCTGATGTTTTTCCTGGAGAGAAGTGGCCTCTTTGCTGCCCTCCTTGAGACCAGGCCTTGCTCCGAGAGTCTCCGCCTCACAGCCTGCAGATGCACTCACACCTGCCTGCTGCCATTCCTGAGCAAGCTCTGCACTGCTGGTAGCCCGATCCCGCAGCTGAAACTCTTTTAAGAGACGGTCTTGGCGCTTGCTGGTCTTTCTTGGGCGCCCTGGAGCCTTTTTGGCAACAATGGAACCTCTCTCCTTGAAGTTCTTGATGATGCGATAGATTGTTGACTGAGGTGCAATCTTTCTAGCTGCGATTCTCTTTCCTGTTAGGCCATTTTTGTGCAGTGCAATGATGACTGCACGTGTTTCTTTAGAGATAACCATGGTTCACAGAAGAAAAACAATGATGCCAAGCACCAGCCTCTTTTCAAAGTGTCCAGTGGTGTCCTTCTTACTTAATCATGACAGATTGATCTCCAGCCCTGTCCTCATCACCACTCACAGCTGTGTTAATGGAGCAATCACTGAAACATGTTAGCTGGTCCTTTTAAGGCAGGACTGCAATGAAGTTGAAATGTGTTTTGGGGGCTAAAGTTCATTTTCTAGGCAAATATTGACTTTGCAATTAATTGCTGTTACGCTGATCACTCTTTATAACATTCTGGAGTGTATGCAAATTGCCATTATAAAAACTGAAGCAGTAGACTTTGTACATATTAACATTTGAATCATTCTCAAAACTTTTGGCCATGACTGTAGAGTTGAGGTGCCCTGTAAAACCTGATAAGTTTGTTGAACTCAATTTGAGAAAACTGATTGTCTTAAAAAGATTAAGTTTATTAACCTCAACAATTCAGTTCAGATAGAATACTCAATTGAAGTTCATTTAACTCAAATATTTTCTGTCAGTCTAACATGGATTAAAAAAAGTTTCACTCAGTAAACTGAACTAGCAAGTAAGCATTTTAAATATGTATATATTTAAAATGTAACTTATTATAAAAATAAAACTATATATATACATATATATATAGTTTGGATATCTTCATTTTTGAGCCACTAGTGTGCAAGTCCGTGTGAGTCCATTAATTATGAAGGCAGGTTGTGTGTGTGTATGTGTGTGTGTGTGTGTGTGTGTGTGTGTGTGTGTGTGCGTGTGCGTGGGGGTGTGTGTGTGTGTGTGCGAGTGTAGTTCAAGTACAACATGGAAACCATGCTACGTCAATATGCAGGGTATTTTATATATATATACCCTTCACATTTTTTATATATATATATATCTATATATATATATATAGATAGATATATATATATAGATATATAGATATACATATCTATATCTCTCTCTCTCTCTATATATATATATATATATATAGATAGATATATCTATCTATCTATCTATCTATCTATCTATCTATCTATCTATCTATCTATCTATCTATCTATCTATATCTATCTATCTATCTATCTATCTATCTATCTATCTATCTCTATCTATCTATCTATCTATCTATCTATCTATCTATCTATCTATCTATTTATCTATCTATATATATATATATATATATATATATATATATATAGATATATTGCAGCCAAGATACTGCGCAGGACCCTCAAGCTCCCAGGCCTCTGGTAGAGGACCTGAGCTCACCCACCGCGGGTGGTTCTTATCATCTGAGCTCGGGTCAGCTTTTTCCAGCCATTGGTAGGATTTACTGATATCAGCCACTTGGGTTATTTGCTGGTGGTACATCCCATGTAGGGGCTTGTCCTCCCATGATGGTATCTCTGACACCTCAACCTCCGTTCCCTGTTGTCTGAGACATTCACTGAGCACATTGTCTGTTGAGGCTTTGTCCCTGATGTATTTATGGATCTTAGGTGTTTCGTCCTGGACAGTGGTTCTCACACTCACTAGTCCTCTGCCTCCTTCATTGCGGCTCGTGTACAGTCTCAGGGTGCTGGATTTGGGATGGAACCCTCCATGCATTGTTAGTAGCTTTCTAGTCTTAATATCTGTGGCTTTTATCTCCTCCTTTGGCCAGCTAATTATTCCAGCAGGGTATCTGATTACTGGCAGGGCATAGCTGTTTATCGCATGGATTTTGTTCTTGCCATTGAGCTGGCTTCTCAGGACTTGCCTTATTCGTTGGAGCTGTGGCTCCTTTCCTTGTGGCCTCAACGAGGTTGCCATTTGCTTGTGGTATACCTAGGTACTTGTAACTGTCCTCTATGTCTGCTATTGTTCCTTGTGGGAGTGAGACTCCTTCTGTGTGGATCACCTTCCCCTCTTTGTGATCAGCCGACCACACTTCTCTAGTCCGAATGACATCCCAATGTCAGTGCTGTAGATCCTGGTGGTGTGGATCAGTGAGTCGATGTTTAAAATAAAAGTTACATACTTTTTTACATATTTGTTAAAATTATCATTATGTCATGACATTTGAAATGCAATAATAAAAAATGGACTTCTTTATAAATCCCTCCTGGAGCTCTCTCAATAATGAGCAGCACTCAGCTCATTCCTTTAAAAATAATCTGATCTACTTTCTAATCTGGTTGTCTCTGATCAGGGACTGCTGCTCCAGGGTTACACTGACCTGGTAACCCTGAAAAAAGTAATCCTCAGAACAGGGAGCTACCTTGCTGCCCCTGCTGGCCTGGATGAATTGCAGATGAGTATGTAACAGCAAACCAGCAGTAATGGTGAGACCGCTATGCTTTTATCTAACCAGTTATAATTAGGTATAATAACGTAGTCGACATCAGAGGAAATGAACATGAAGTACTAATACAGCAAGTTTGCAGAAGTAGCATATACAAAGCTAAACCCATCCCAACAATGAGGATGCCAAGCAGAAGCCAAGAGTAGTGGCACACTGTACAGGTTAGTGTCTGTCAGTCAAAATGTTCATAATGAGGGATGTGAGGACGGCAAGTGAGAGTGGGGTGATTATGATAATAATAATAAGGAAATTAAAACAGAAATAGCAAAAAACTAAGAAAAAATTATGTTTTAACAGATTTAAATTTTAAAAACAGTGAGAAAGTATTTGAGAGGCATATTCACTAAAAGGTCCTTTGTTTTCAAACAATGCTATGTATACTTGGTTTAATTTTAGCTTGCTCATAAAGTTACAGCTTGCTGGAGTTAGAGCCTACAGTTATTATCATGCAGTAAAATATTGCTTTACTGAAAAGGATTATTTATTATTGGTAACCATAGCAATAACAGTTGAGCCCTGGTGCTAACACAATGCCAAGATGGAAATACATCAGCAATGACCTTTTAGATGCAACTGCTTGAAAACGTGACGGATCGTCCCATGACCTCCTAAAAGAAGTTTAAATAGCAAAAGCATTTACCTTCATGGATGTGTCCAAACACATGTAATTTGGGTTGGACTCTCCTCTGAACTGTGTTGAGTAGTTCCATGCATCCAACACGCTGCATCTTTTTAGGAACCCAGTCCAGAAAACCTGCAGAAATCAGACTTGTGAAGTAGCAGAATCCCCAGGCTGCAGTATGATTTTTCATCCACTGATTTATAGAATGTTTGGGTTACATTAGAAACAGTACAAAACAAAACAAAAAAAACATAGATATACTAAAGTGACAGATGAATATGCTGGTTCATTAATATGTACAACAAGATCAAAATCTTAAATAAGACCATTGTTTTTTGGATCAAGTAGGAGAAGTTTTATGATATCTCCTTAAAATATGCAACTCTTTATAGCATATCCATAGAAGTCAACTCAATGAAAAGAAATGCTACCAATGAAATGGCATATGTCATAACTAGCATGAGGAAATTTACACCCGGTCTTTGCAGAACAAATTCTTCGAGAGTGTCAAAATCAAAGTGAGCTCTTCATCCCACAATGATGAAATTTAAGTGAAGTTTTGAACATGTTTGAAACTTCTGTTGGATCATTGAATTGAGTCTATTTGGGGGGAACAGTGTGACATGAGAACCTAAGCCTTCAGCACTGCTGGGCTGTTAAGAATTTGGCCACACAGAGGCACAGGCTCTGTATGGCCTCATGCTCAGGATTCAAGCTCATCACACCCACATCACTCTGGCAGCAATTCAGGCTGGTTGTTGGAGTGCTTCTGTTGGCATGCCTACCGTACTCATGTCACGCTGCTATTGCAACGACCAATTAATACTGGCTAGTATAGGTCTGCAGTGCATATTCACTCCACACTGAGACAGGGCTTGGCTGTGCTAGTTTATAGTCAGTCTCCCATTTTGAAGCAGAGAAAGCTTCAAAATGGTTTTATTAGACACAAAAAATTGTATATACTGCAGGTTTAAATGTTATGGAGGTTGGTTATTCAAAAGAGACTTGTATAATAAATTTTGATCAACAAGACATAAGCAAAAATAAAATAGAGAAAATAGTACAGTACTGTACATAAATGCACAAAAACATTTCCAACTGGCTCACAGAAATGAGAAACTGCTTCTTTTGATAATCACCAGATTTCAAGACTGAACAAGAAGTTTTGAGAATTTGAATTCTATGCTGAGAAATGCCTTGAAGTAACTGAATAAAACTAATATTTTTATAAATATTTTTATATAAACCAAGGTTTTATCTGAAATCCAGAAGAATTAATCTGTTATTAAAAAGTGCTGTTTGATTTTTCTTTCTTTAAAACCTCTATTAGTTTTTTTTCTATTTCCTTTCCTTGTTTGCTGCTTTTCTCTTGTCTTTTGTTTCCACTTTATTATTGTTGTCTGGAAAGAGTGACAGGAGGCAAAAAATGGAGTCTCATACTCCTCGCTCCTTTTATTCCTCCGACTCGATGCTTTTATTGACTCAGCGTCAGCAGCGTGCCTCCTCACTGCGCAGCCATTAAATCCTACATACTCCATGCTTCATCCTTGTCACACATACTGTGAAGTTTGCGTCTGTGTGTGGCTTTGATTGATCTTTATTTTATATGGCTGCTTTCAGACAGCCTGTTTTTTTCACCCTTTATGCTGTGCTGAGCAGTTTACCATCCCACAAACAGCCCAGAATGAAAAGCTTTGTTTGGAAAAGTGATGTATCGCCATTAGAGGGGAGGTGGAATTTATAACCTTCACTCAGGCATGTAAGCGGTGAAAACACAGGAAATCAACCCAAAGCCATCAAACATCCAATTAAGTGAATTTCTGAAACAATCTGAACAGAACCATTATTGCAGAAAGGTAAGACGAGGATGTCACTTTCAGTTACTGATGAACATCCACCTGGTTCTGCAGATCAGTGCAAATTCATTCAGACCTATTTCATTGTTTCATATGTCACATTTAAAGAAACATTGTTGCATTAAAACTTTTGTATGAGACAAATTACAAAAAAAAATAATTAAAGTGTGTTTAAGCTCCTCTACTGTAACACCCCAATATGATTAAACAGAGCCCATTCATACGGGTATAATTTAATATAAATGCAGCTGTTGTGTTTGTGGCCTCAGAGGTTTGTGGGCGATCAATAAAAACAAGAAGACCAAGGAACAGCAGAGAAGGAAGGAGAACATCGTGGAGAACAGGGTTGTCCTGAATTCAATGTTAGGTAAAAGTTTGTCATTGATTGAACAAGTTGTCATATATTTCAAGCATACTTCTAATAATTTTCATTAGACTTTTTTTTCTCAATTTGTCCTGATTTGGTAAGTTGCTCCCAGGTGAGTCCTGACTTTCTCTAATGTAGGTAAGTGAGGGAAGCATCAACAATCAACCCATTTTCTGCATGGTTCAGAGGTACATCTGAACACACAGTTACACTTATGACAAAGGAAGGACAAGAACTTGGATGAGATCAACAGCCAGAGAGAAGACGAGGAGGAGGAGTGAGGCCATGGTGGAGGTAAGGAGGCAGAACTGGTGGAGGACATGATGTCAGCATCCATCACTCCAACATCACGATGCAGTTCCTCTCACTGTGCCCTTCATCCCTTAAGCTCATAAAGTACTATATTTTTCTTATCACAGAAAGTGATCACTATATGATCACCAGCCACATAAACATATTACCCTTCTGGGTGCCATGAATACAGTGTACATTTGCAATGAAGCAAATGTACACTGTCATTTTCTAACTATAATTGTGAACACAACTTTTCATTAGTCTATAACATACAATCAAATACAATACTTTAATGTCTGTGGACAAATTGAAGAGGTGTGGAATTCCTTTTCAAGTTCTGTGTAGTTCCATCCACGGTTTGTTTCTGAGACACAGTGTAAGTTATCCCAGCAAACACCTGATGATGTTTTTATGACTGACAGGACAGTTTTTATCCTACCCAGATTAGTTAAAGAAAGACATTGTTGAGCTTGTTGCCATGGAATCTATAAGGTCTTTCATCATTTTAACCACAGACAGAAAGCAATTACATCTTCTCTGTGTGTTTCACAGAAATTCACATTTTTGGGGGTGGTGTCATTAGTAATCTGTTACCAGAATTTGACAGATTGCTAAATCTGTCAATTTCTTGATTCAGAATCAATTTCTTGATTCAGAATCAAGAAATTGTACTTTATTGATTCTGAACTCATATAGTTTTACACCTGCTTTCTTCAGTAAAAATTAACTTATACAGACAGACAATCTGAACCTGAAATTAACTAAAAATTCCATAAAATGTCAAAAAGTGTAATTATAATTTCTTTCAGTGTAAATGTTTTCAGACTAGTGTAGAAGGGTATTTCCCAAGCTTCATAAAAACATTCCAAAATGTGTTTAATTGTAAATAAATGTTTTAATGAACAAATGGTCTAAACTGACATAAAATATAAAATCAAGTATCTAAGTTTATCTTTGAAACATTCTAAATCAGTACTTCCTGAGAGCCACCCACCTGTTCCTGTTTCAGCTACTTTCCCAGCATGGAAAAACTAGTCAAACCATTCTGCAGCCCCTCAGGAACACAGCTTTCAACATTTCACTGTATTGTTAGGTCGCTTGTGTTCAATAAGTGAATCAATCTGATTTCTCGACCCATTAAGCCAACATATATATATGGAAAAAACATTTTAATCAACATGGAATAAACTTATTGTTGTTCTTACAGTGGACGTGAAGTGAGAATATTTGAGGGCTCAGGGTGTTGAACTCTAATGTGCCTCTTGTTTGAAACAGCTGCTGTTTGGGCAGGGAGTGCTCCTCTGTTTGTCTCACTCTCACTCTGTCTCTTTGTGATGTTGGCTTCTTTCTCACAGCCAAACAAATGGCCATAGCTTTGTCTTTGCCCTCAGATAAAGTGTTTTCTCTCACCTCCTAAAATATAAAAACCTCTGCTACTTTGCCAATGTCTTGCTCACTGTGCTTTGTTCATCAATTTTTATTTTATTTTATTTTTTTACTGAGAGATGAAAACATTTGAAAGGTTTATGTCATCAACATCTGTTCATTTCTCCACTTCCTCTCATGTCTATCGCTTAACTTTTGCATCTGAGTGAAAATGTGTCATGCACAAGTAGTCTGCTGGAGCTGCTCCATATGCTGGTGGCTTGTGAGCAGATAGTTGGAGACAGTTGGCTAAGCCAAGTGAAAAATAAATCGTAGTGTTCAAAGCCGAAATGCAGACATAGAAATCAATCATAAACAGTTGTTGGAGTGGCACAGCTGCAGCAGGAGATGAGGTGTGAAAGTGTGTGTGCACTAGTTTGCGTGTGAGCACGATGTCAGCCTGCAATCCAGCATCTGTTTGTTAAGCATTTTGTTCTGTGATGGGAATGTGTGGTAAAGTGATTAGGATCTGAAAGGTGAGCTCCGACGTTCCCAACATGCTTGTAAATAAAGCTACTACAGTAGGGTGTGTGTGCACACTTGCGTGTGTTTGTGTGTGTGTGTGTGCGTGTGTGTGTGTGTGTGCGTGCGTGCGTGCGTGCGTGCGTGTGTGTGTGTGTGTGTGTGTGTGTGTGTGTGTGTGTGTGTGTGTGTGTGTGTGTGTGTGTATGCGTGTGTCCCTTGAGGGCGGGTGGGGGCGGGGGGTAACACTGTAATGCATATCTCACCCAGTGGGGGGCAATGCGTGACCAGGATGTCTGTGTTGTCTGGAATCTGATTCCATTTGTCGAGAAGAGCCTGACCCCGCGGCAAGTTGAAGCCCCAGCCGTAGTACCATGGTTGCCTGCACACACACATGCACACCCACGCACCGCACGTACACGCACGCACACACACACCCACACGCGCATAGGCACACACACACACACACACACGCACACACAGAGTGAGTGGAAATAATTGTTTCATATAGAGACTGTATAAACTGGTATCAGTCAAAGGCTGCTGGATGTTGACATTTATATTTATGACCCATAATATCATCATTAAAATGTATTGATGGTTCAGAGCAAACACAAAAAACATCACAAATCCAAAACTAAACACACCATACTTAATATTTGATTACAACACATAAAATATCTTCAAATATCAAATTATCATGTTGTGTTTGTGCTTCAGATGGACATCTGAAGCACAAACATCTGTTCTGGATCTAGATCTGGATCTGGATGATGAAAATTAGGATCTGAGCAGCATTTAATGTACAGTTTTAAGACCTTAAACTGAAATACAATAAAGAGGAAAGCATTCAGAGACAACAGCTCACGTGAAAGAAGTGCATTAGAGAAATGGGATACAGCTGGTGTAAAGCAGCAGGCCTCTGTGTGTCTGTGAGCTGAACTCCCCTCAGTCACTTTGTAATTTTCAGATTTCATCAAGGCTGACTGGTAACACTGACCAGCATCTTAGAGGACACTTCTGACATGAGGGACATGTCCTCTCAGTGTCCAGGCATGTGGACTGACCTTGACTTTAAAAACATGCAGGTGGCCATATGAAGAGCATGCTTTAGACCGTTAAGTAGTTTGCAGCCATGTTGCAAAAAGATAAATGAAATATTTCTTTGATCCTGAACAGTGATGGAATGGACCATGACAGGAAGAAGTGGAGAGAAAAAGGGATAAGTGAGGAAAGAACAGAGGAGGAAAAAAATCTTGATGGCTCATTGTGCTGTTCTTTTTCTGCAGGAGCGCACGCCTCGGCCGTGAGTGACGGAGAAGAAATTAACATGTCACTTACAATCTGTACTCCGATCCATCTTCAGCCACAACACACAGCGCACGTGTGTGTACAACGGCAGGCGACAGCGTCTGTCACTGTCGGCGTTCAACCGGCTTTTAATAAATTGCTGAGCTCAGTCACTTGAAACACCAACTTTATCACCGGAGCTGCTGCAGCAGCATCTGTGTCTAATGGAACATCAGATGAGGATTCTGTAGAATAATATCCGGTGTGTGTGTGTGTGTGTGTGTGTGGGTGTGTGTGTGTGTGTGTGTGTGTGTGTGTGTGTGTGTGTGTGTGTGTGTGTGTGTGTGTGTGTGTGTGTGTGTTTGTGTGTGTGTGCGTGTGTGTGGGGTGGGTTGGGGGGGTGTCTGGCTACATGGGGACTTCAAGAAACTAAGTTGCACTGGTAACATAATATTTCTCTCCATTTAGGGCAGATGTGGATGGTAATGTGGTAATGTGGAGGTCACAGGTGTAGAGGACTGGTCATGTCCAGGCAAAGGACCACGATGGCTCTGCTGCAGCTCTTAATTACATTTTTATCCTTTGTAAGGATCCAGGAATAAAGAGTGCTGTCAAATGATCTGAAGGGGCCTGAGAATACACATTCAGTAATTTACACAACGAATATTAAAGCATTTAGACTGGGCTCAGCATATTAATAGGCTACAGAAATGCAATATTTATGTTCATCTTAACATTGACATCAATATTACACTAGAATGAGCCCAGCAGTGTAACTGATGCTCCTTAGTTCTACAGCAAAGAAAGAAATAAAGTGACAGCAAAAGAAGAAAAAGGCATGAGTTACATAAAGCAATTCATTTGAACAAATAATGTATGAACCGTGATAAAATGCTTCCCCCATGGACGGACTCAGAAATGTGAGAAGATAGACGAGTGTTGGCTGCAGGTCGGGGTTAGCAAATGTAAAAACAGCCAAAAAAAAAAAAGGTTTGAATGCCATTTCAAACCTTTTTAATTTAGAATAAATTTAGAATATTTAGAATAAATAAAAAAGTAACCATCTTGCCCGTAAAATTTGAAAAGCATTATTAACAGAACTAAAGCAAAATACATTTACAAAAATCATTAAACCACAATGAACAAAATGGACTCAACAAATTCAATAAAAGCAAAGCTTGTTTGGAGAAGCTGAATCTGAGTTAACTTAATGACATCATCGAGAAACATCTGCTGCTACCTGATAGCACTTAAAAGCAATTCAAAATATTATTTTTTTTCACAGAGATTTTTCACAGGTGTTTTTTACCATTTTGAGAAATGGACATCACAGCAAGATCATACTGTAGTCAAATAGTTTAATTCCCCAAATTAACTCCCAGAAAAGAAAAATCAATCTGAGTAACATATCAGTTAACACGGTAAATTAGAAATAGAGTGAACAGGTGTGGCATGTTTGTGCCACTGTTGGAGGGTTGGGTCTGAAGTCTCTGAAAAGAACAACTTACTTGACTTGCATCTCAACACAACACATGACAAATGGGACCGAAGTGATTTTCTAGAAGTCATCTCGTAACACATTCACAGTGCAGAAATAAACACGCTTTACACTCATGTAAAGTGAGCTCACTTTACATAACTTTAATAGTTTTTAAACTTTTCAAAACTATTAAGCCCATTTCCTGTTCACCTTCATATGCCAGACATTTTTATTGCAGGACTTTAATTGGCTACATGCAGGTAGTGTAATAATGAGCATCAGAGCTGATAGGCCAGAGCTATGTGTGTCATAGTAGATGGGACTAGCTGTCTCACAGTCCTGCTCAAGTGATAGAAGAATACAATCCATCCATTGGAATAGAAGATTCCATCACAAGCTTATATCCATAAGTGGGATGGAAGAGTTAAATAATTGATAATAGGTGTCTAACGAAGAAAACCTAGCTGCCATTTTGGCTCAGTGGTCAGTTTTTCTTCTTCATGATGATGTTTTCAAGGGAAATTCCAGTTTTTCTGGCATCCTGTGGGACGGAGAAATCTAAGGAATAAAACACACAGTTTTTGCAGCCATTTTGTCAGCTAACAATAAAACTATTCAGTTAAAATATCTGCACCATACTTTGGTTTTGCATAGTAAATTAAATGTAATTCTCTTGTGAATATCAGGAGAGTATTTTTTTATTATTATTATTATTTTTTTTTTGCAGTAGAACGGTTAATTAATATTTGCCATGGTGTTCATGCACTAAAGTTCCTACAAAGTGTAGGCGTATGCACCCAGATTATCTTTGACAGGAAATCAGCCACACTTCCATGTTTGATATGAAAAGCAGAAAATAACTGAATGTAATTCATGGATAATAACCATGCTCAAGCATTATGACATTTTTATCAGGTAAGGGATTATCTCTGGTGCAGGGATGTGTGTTAACTCAGAGGGGGAGAAGTGTGGAGCATGCTAAGAATTATGGTAATGTACCAAGCTGCTGTGGGCTTCGCAAAAAGGAGAAAACAGATGTTTATGCTGGAGGACACAATCCCCAAGCATCTCCTTAGGCTGGCCGCTGGGACAGAGACGCAGCTCAAACCTTTGCTTTTACCTCACTTCTTCACAAACAGGCTTTGCCTTTCAAAACAAGACAAGACGCCAAACATAACACTTTCTCTTTAGCTCACTCTATTTAAACACAAACAGAGGACAGCAGGGCTTTTTGCTTTCATTTTTTTTAACCTAACCTATGTTTGTGTGTATCTCACTATCGCAGGTCCACTGATATCAATGCACTAAGTACATGAATCATTGAATACATCTGCTGAGGGCTGTAAGGCCGTCATCTCCTCTCCCTCATTCTCTCTCATCTTCATTCTCTCATGCTATTACGCCTGTGACGTATTACCCCAGCTCTCACTCCCTCCTCATTTACATAATGAGTAAATGAGGAGAATATGACCTGCTAGCACGGCCATATTCAATGGAGGGCCAAGCTTTTTAAACATAGCAGTCCAGATGGGAAGAAAAAAAGATTTTCCAGGTATAGGAAGGAAGCTGAGCTGCTGAGATCTGACTTTAGTTGTGCCTTTTCCAAGAAATGCATGCTGGTTATTTTGAAGAACTTAACTTTGCTGTAGATATGACCAACATCTGTCTAAATAAGCACACAGCATTTTTCTATATTCATTAGTATAGAGGAAGCCTTAGTGTGCCATACCTATTATTGATATTGATATTAGTATTGATATTGATATTGAAATTCAGTTCAGTATAGTTTGTTCTGTCAAACACATAAAAAAGCATTGACTCCTGGAATAATCAGGAATTTTTTCACCATTATTGTAGTTTATTTTATGAAAAGAAAGAAGCTGAAATTAAACTGATTTCAAATTTAGCTCATTCGAGTTTCTTAATGTAATGCTTCAAAGCAGGAAAACTTGGATTTTGCATTTTGCAGTATTTGAAAAGAGGAACCAATCTAATCAGTCATAGAAAAAATTATTAAAAGCCCAATTCTGAGCATCTTTTTTAAATCTTTAAATTTAACTGTCATCATGTAAAACTGTATTTATGAAATACTAAACTCTAATCATGGTCGATAAAAGTAACTGACATAAACCAGGTATCTTAAATCGATGTTCAAATTATTGAATTTGCATTGCTTTCTTATGAACTACAGTACTGATAGATGTTGTACCAATAAGCAGGCAATAAAATGTGGTGATTCGAATAGAGGAAAAAATGGACAAATTTAGTACAGCTGAAGTGTAACACAGCTCCATGTTAATCGTTCCATGTACTGACATACTAGAAACACTCAGCCATAATCACCTCTGCTAGATTTAATTAACTACTCACAGCTTAATGACCCCAATAGCCTGGAAGGGGTAGTAGAGGAGTAAAACAGTCTGCTCATGACTACACCCACACCCACTCTCACACCCATATGCACACACGCAATCAAGTCTGCTTTTCTCAATGGTTAGCATGATGCACACACAGCAAGACGTACCTGCTCATACATTTGTCTCTGTAGTGTTTTCTCTACATCTCCAGGTGCCAAACATCCCTGTCTTTATAACTGTGCAGATACAAGTCCT